TGTATGACTCACTGTTATCTATAAACATGGACTAAAGTATATTAGCATAGCTAAAAACAGGAGCACCAGTCATCTTGAAGATGTACTTTTAGCAGTTAGCACCATGCTAACTCATAGGATACAGGCTGACATTACTTGTTAGCTACTTTAGCCCTACAGTCCCAGTGCTAAAACAACAGAAGCAAACTTCATACTCTTAGTTTGGGGTATTTATCAAAGCATACGGTCAAATCTGATCATAAAATGAGCGCACAGATCATACATTTCACGTCCAGTTTTTCATTTTTTGCGAATCTGTATGATCACGCACTAAATTTGAGTGTAGTCATTTTACAACCTGAAGAAAATGCTCAATTTGCAGTTAACTAACCCCGAACTATTATCAATGTCATCTATAATAGCAATAACAACGATAAAAATAGGAAATAACAGTAATACTAATATTTTGTGCACACGGCCGTCCAGTATAAGCATATTTATTTTAGATGCACGTTGATGCAAACAAGCGCCGCAGCTATTCCATGATTCATTTAAATACATATCACACTGCTTTTTTTTATACTACTGACTACGCCCACAAAGTAAACAACAAAAAACACAGCTAGTGCAATACACTGCAGTAATGCGGTGTTTAAATCTGTTATTTTACACTAAATCACACCATTCTACCACCTAAAAAACGAAGATGTTTACTTCACATTTTATTCTTTCCAGCGTTTGTAATTTAAACACTATAAAGTTTGGTCCGTAGGGGGCACAGTGCACTTACTGCTCCACCTTAAACTCCACCTACAAGCACAGCTATTGGCTCTTGGAGTGAACACTGATGTTTTATTGGCTCCCTACAGAAACATCTGTATTAATTAGGGTCTACTTCATTTAAATGACATGTAAATGAGGTGCTGGTATGGTGGCGCTTGATTTCACGCACTGATTCAGTGCTCAGAACTCTGTTCATTTCCACGTCGCACAAAAGTTTCAATAAATGATATTGATAACAACAGAGACAAGAGAGAACTAGACTCATGGGTCCAGCTTGCGTATCAAGAACGTCTGGGAACAACCCTGAGAAATTTGAGTCTAAACGTAGGGAGGAAGGTGACTTATTAGATTGAGAGCAGCTCAAAGCAGGGTATGTTCGTCAACATTGTCCGATGGGCAACAAGCCTGTCGTAGCCCATGGATGTAACGTAAGTTATTGTGGATAAAAAATCCACCGCAAAAATTAAATTAAGCATGCCAATGTGTGTCACATGTGCAGCGAAATGCAGTAAAAAACTGTTCTGTTAGTCAACGCTAGCGTTTCGCTAGTTAGCTTGTTTTGCTTCTGTTATTGATTGTACTCCTGAGGCCGTTTTGCGATGCAAGTTTGGTACGTTTGGTCAAATGTGAAAGCTGTTTTCGAGTCTGGGAGCGGAACAGAGAACCAATATCTGGTCCTCCTGAAACTCCAGGAACTCTGGAAAGCTCTGGAAGCTACCCGCTACCGGTGCTGTGTGAGGCTGCGTGATTGGTTCATTCTGTAACATGACTGCTTCGACTGAGTGTTTGAGTGTTTGTGTACAAGGAAAACAATAAAAAGTAGTAAATTCACGAAGCTGGTAACGACCCTTCTGCAAACCCATCAATCCATGGTTTGGATGGAATTCTTGTGTGTGAAAGCAGACCAGCGATAATGAGCTCCTATCTCAAACAAGCCCAGAATCGGTCCCGGGTGAGAACTCAAGGATTGGACCCGTGTGAAAACACCCTGAAAGAGCAATGACTACAGGAATTTAGCGACGGGTTTTAGAGAGGTACACGTGTTAGCGGTCGAAGTTTATTTATAGAGCACTTTTTACAACAGACGTTGTCAAAAAGCAGCTTTTACAGAAAAAAATCGAGGTCCAAGCCTCCATGAGCGTCGCCAATGGCGACAATGGCAAGGAAAAAGCAAGAAACCTTGAGAGGAACCAAGACTCAAAAGGGGAACCCATCCTCCTCTGGTCGACACCGGATAGGAAACTGCA